ATCTGTCAAAACTGGTATTCCAACAATAAATTGACATGTTTTGATTGTTGATTTGAACCAATCAGATTGTAATTACGCGATAATTGCATACTAACTGGTGCGAAAACTGGTGTTTTGACAAAAAATTTAAATTTTTGATTTATGAAATTCTCTCATTAAATACAACTCGTGCAATAGAAATATATCTATAATTTTCGACGAATTTGCACTCATGCGTTTTTAACTGAAAAAGGCACTCGTGCACCACGTGCACTCGTGCTCTTTTTCAACTAATAATGCATTCGAGCAAATTTCCCAAAAATTATCAATAATTTCCATTGCACTAGTTATACTACTATTGATAATTTTTATGATCAGGCGAAGCGGTTTTTATTTTTTCTAGCGGTGTGGTGATTTCACTAAAATAAAATGTGTGGGAATTAAAGGTCGATTTTTTTTGGTTTTTCCGAAACTTAATGCTTCCGCTACGTGTAACAATAAAATACCCTCATAGTGAATTAAAGAAAACAAAATGCTCTACAATTTACCCAGCGACAGCAGCATTTGTCTATCACCTACCCTTTAGTCAGTTAATGACCTTGAGAAAAGATGTTTTGGGATTTTTTTTACTGAACTCTGAAGACTAAATCGAATTTACCACAAAGTATGTATACTGATAAATAATTGGCCAATTTTTTGGTATAAGTTTTATTTAAAAGCATTTACCCCTTTTAGATATACAGGGTGTTGAAATGTAAACAACCCCCTTTCATAACATCTGAAGGGCTAATGCTATGCTGTACAAATTTTCAGGCATTAGTGATGTAGGAATGATATTAAAAAATTCGCTGTGACTAGAGTCCCGACTCGGGATCCACCTCCAGTCCCGAATAACGTCCATGAATAAATGACGTTACCTATCAATAGTTTTGTCGGGACTGGATAATAATTCCAATCATTAGGTAAGACCATATTATTCAATTAAAATAAATAAGACAATATAATATTTCCAAAGCGTACCTACATTTTATTTCAAAAACACGAGCTCGAGCCTCAGAAATTAAAGGTAAATTTCTGGTTTTCTACCTGAACTTATTCTGACCACTATTTAGGGTCGGTTTCTCAATAGCGAGTCACCTCTGGGTTGGTTTTAACTCCAGGGTAAACGTGTCCAGTTGCGATGTATGTTTACCCTGGAGTTATGCTTAACCCTGGTGTGACTTCCTATTAAGAAACCGGCCCTTAAAGTTTATAAACAAATGCACACCTTTTACATAAAAGCACGTACCTACCTACCACCTATAATTTATGAGTGTCCCATGACGTTTTATCCAGGTGATAATTTCGGAACGCGTCATCTAATGTAATTGAAATTTTCAGGATCTCGGTAACTTTTTTTGCCGCTTCTATTTGTGTCATCCAATTCCACCACTTTCGCTTCAGTTTCGGTCAAGTGGTGAAGGCAGCTTCAGAATCTTAAATGTAACTTCCTATACCTATTATGGAATTTTTCGTTCGTGTTCGAAAATTAAATTACAGAATCGGCAGTGCCATATTTTTGTTAAGAGTTTGTTGAATAAAATGATAGAAAATTACAAAGTGGAATATTTTCATTTAATGACGGCGCGTTCCGAAGTTATCACCTGGGTAAAATCTTGTGGGACACCCTGTATATGTATAGGTATCAACAACATTACATGATTTATGGCTTACTATAACCTTAAAACAGGTGTTTTAAGTCGGGACCATAAGCGGTTCCCGAGATTCCCGAGTCGGGGCGCAACAACAGTCCCGACAAAACTATTGATGACGTCATTCGGGACTGGATATGGATCCCGAGTCATATATTGCACCCCCATTTTTTACCTGGAACCACCCAAAAAGAAAATAAAGTTTGAAAAAAAAAAATCCTTTTTTCCATTTTCTCCCACACAATGTCCTCCATGTGAATGGTACAAATATTATTTTGTGGACACCAAAGGCATTTTTCTATTACAACCTCTCTAGACGAAAAAAAATATATTAAGGGGGGGTGAAAAAAATTTTTTTTTTGGCATTTCGTTTCACATAGGTCAGTCACTAAATAGGCTTTCCAAAAACATATCTACTCATTGCAACATCCTCCCGGAAACTACCCCTGCTGTCCCTTATGGAAGTTGTCGCAACCACTTTTTTGCGATTATTTCATTACCTGTAACCTATGCATTGTATGGGCAGGAAATTTATACGAAATTAAATACCACCACCACTCTACAAATGTCAAATAGGTTCCTATAATGCATTTTTTCATATTTTGCAACCGTTGCGCAACAGTAGCGCCCTAAAGAGCAGAAATTTTATAGCGAATTCCAGTTTTATTCCATTATCTCGTCACCTATTCACAGATTTAGCACGCCGACTACAAGCTGTCGATGTCGCCACTGTATTTTATTGGTTGGAACATAGAACTTAAATTGCATGAAATATAATTGGTATATACAGGGTGTTTGGAAGGTCGATGCAAAGTCTTGGAGAGGTGAGAGAGACCCCTATACTTAATACTGTTATAATAAATCAATTAGGCCCCTATAATATGAACTGAAGATCATTGGCGAAAAAAAGCAAAAATGGAGGTTGCATGACGTTTGCCGACCTTTGGGCTATCGTTGTGGCTAAAAGGTGGCAAGAACGTAGAAAAAAACTAGGGCATAAATAATAATAATTTCTGGCCTTCAATTTAGCAAATGAATTTTAGCGATAAAATGTATAAGTAATGACATAATGGAATAAAACTGCGGAATTTTCTTCCAAATTGCTGAGCTTTGGGACGCCTCTGTAGCGTAACAATTGCAAATTTTTAAAAAATGCATCAAGACCTTATTTGTAGAGCATATGATGGTCTTCAATTTCGTAGAAATTTCCTTCCCATAGGTAACCAAATAATCACAAGGGCAGGGGAAGTTGCCGGGGGGGCATGCAAGCACTTCGTACATGTATTTGACAAACGCAGGGTGATAGAGTTATCTCATTGGTCGATGCCAAATAACAGTACACATTGCTATACAAACGCCAAATAAATGTACAATTTGCCACCGGATGCCCTCTCGCCAAATAACGGTACGAATTGCACTGCATATACCTACCTCAAATGGATGTACGTTTTGCCATCTCAGCTCATGGGCTTCTGTTTTTGCTGAGGTATATGTGGCAACGTTTTATAATGCAAGCACGTTTTGTTGAGCTGATTAGATGATTTCAATACTCTAGTAGCAATGTTTGTACTACAAATACTACCTATATGACGTGAATATTGAAATTGGCTGCTGCACTCGTCTTGTTAGTCGGCTAGGTAAAGCATGTAAACACCAAACAGGAGTTTACTTATTCTATTACGACCTGGAAGCCAACGATTCCGAGATCCGGTACCAAATCACACGCTTGGCATTGGGTAAAAAGGCTAAAGGGCGAGAATTTTACAGACTTCTTGTTACTTTGCAACAAACATACACGCCCACTTCAGTATCAAAAACTGATTTATATGAACATCCGAGTGAGCATCATTTTAATGCAGAACTAAATAATGCAAGTAATGACAATGAAAACAACACTGAATCGTCATCATTTGAAGCATTGTTAAAACGTATGCAGGATTGCCACACAAGATTTGACACCAGTGAGCTAAAAATGTTCAGCTCGACTCAAAGAGTCACTACCAGAAATGCATGGGACAGTTTTTTATGCACGGCAGGACCCAGTATCCCTTTGAGACGTTGCTGTAAGGCTATTTGTGTACAACAAACAACCATTGCCAGAAGATGGCATGGTATTACCAGAGGCAGTAAGAGGATGCCCAGTGGAAGACCAGCTCACACTGAAAAAAAACCAAGAGCAGTGAAAAGAAAACGAAATTTACATTTGAATGTAGAAAGTAACATATCAAATGCAAAGTCGCATGGCAGTGGACATTAGAAATTAATAAAATATATGTTTTTTAGAACCTACTTTCAATTTGTGTCAATGAGCTTGGTTTTTGTAATATGTACTGTTATCTGGCATACACATGCACTTGTAGTTCATTTGCGAAACGTACATGACTAACTCCGCAATTGCAAAACATACTGCTATCTGCCATCAACCAATCGGAAAGCATAGATCATCAAGCATAGATACAGGCTATTTGCCATATCCATGTACAAAGGGCTTAGATGCTTCTGGGGGATGTTGCAGTGAGTAAATACTTTTAGGGAAAGCTCATTTAGTGTGCTACTGACATATGTGAAACAAAAAGCCACAAAAAAAAAATCCGCCCCTGAATATATATTTTTTTCTGTCTAGAGGGGTTGTACCAGAAAATTACTTCTGGTGTCTATGCATGTATGTCAAAGGTGTGCACAAAATAATATTTGAACCATTCACATGGAAAAAAAAACATTTTTTTTTTTTCAAATTTAATTTTTTTGGGGTGGTTCCAGGTAAAAAATGGGGGTGCATTATATGAATTTTCAAATATCATTTTTATTGAATGTAGAAAGTAATCCCTGGAAATTGGAACAACCTAGCATTAGCCCTCCAGATGATATGAAAGGGTGTTGTTTAAATTTCAACACCCTGTATATCTAAAAGATGTGAATGTTTTAAAACAAAACATACAAAAAAATCGGCCAATTATTTATGAAATCCCAAAACATCTTTTCTCAAGGTTATTCAACTTTAGAGCCCCACCTTGGCTAGAGGCTAGGTGATAGACAAATGCTGTCGCTGGGTGAAATGTAGAGCATTTAGTCCTCTTCAATTTACTATGAAGATATTTCGTTGTAACACGTATCAGAACTGGTAACTTTCCGAAAAACCAAAAAAAAACGTCCTTCAAGGGAGAAATTTTGTTGGAAAAAGTTACACTTATAATAGGCAGCCCTTTTCCTACCAGCAAAAAAATAAAACAGGTGTCGAGTTTGCAAGGTTCAACCTCTCTTCTTGGCGTATAATGTTTTCAGTAGTATGAACTACTGTTGTTAATGTTATGTAGATAAATAACTGCCCTTTTGATCTATTATTCATTTATTTCATTTGAAAATTACACAAAAAATGATAGTATCTAGCACATAAACAAAAATAAATACAAGGCGCAGAGCAAAAAAGATGTAAAAAGGTCATTATCTATAAACAAAATGAATATTAATTTAGGTGGGAGGTATTTAGTAAAATTTTCCAAACATTTGGCACCAAAAACGAATACGATTGGGTGAGAAAAATGGTAGGTGTAAAAAATCTTCAACCAAAATTACAAGTTTGCTGCCAAAACTAACACAAACTAGGCATTTGTGAGTTGGGTTAGTCACAAAAACTTTCTTGTCTCTGTTAATTAATATGAACCATGCATTTTTCCCACTAACTGGAGTTGGATCTTATGCCGGGTCCAGACCAAGCAGACCAAACAACGACACGACAAATCCGATACATTTCTGCAACATTTTTGTCTTTTTTTTGTTTTGTTTCCAAATTCCGAGACTTTTGGAAGTCCTCGTGAGTCGGTAAACATCAAAGAGTCTCTGTTTTGTCTGTGTGTTTAACGACAAGTTGTCGGCGCAGTGTGGACGGGCGTGCTGACCAAATTAGGAGACCAGTGTCAATCAGTGGAAAATCACACAAATTTAGTTCTGTTGACTGTTGTGTTGAAGTTGGTATGTCTTTTGGCAACTGCAAGACCCACAAGGCATCTTAGATTTTCGAAATCTTCAATGGACATTCTTAGAAAATTCTTAAAGCTTGAGCGAATCTCACCACTTAGTTCAATATCATCCTCACGTAACTGAACTAACAATTTATTTATGGATAATTTTTTCACTTTTTTAAGCTTGGTCTCACCAAAAAAGTTTCCGTTTCATTTGTCCAACATTGAATGAAGATGAGAGGAAGATATAACAGCTGGCGGCTAGCAATAAAACCTCATTTTTTGAATTTTCTTTCTGGAAACGCCACAGGGTTAAGCAACTGATTCGCATCAACTAACAACAAGCACTTTAATACAAACCAGAGGGAGGCAGTCCTCCTTTGCGATATGCTTGGTGGTTTCGGTTTCTCAAAGACTATAGATGGACCCAACTAGGGTAAATTCTTGTATAGACAACATATTTTAAATTTTTTCTTTAGAACAGGTGTTTGCTAGGAACATCGAAACTGATTTCTCTGATCATGCCTCACAACTTATTCAGTTTAGTATAACAAATAAAAAATCAAGTTTTATTCAGGAAAGCAGGCTATGTAGGCCAATTACACACCAAGGCATGGTACTGTTTTATTAATTTCATAGAGGGATCATCTTTTGTCTTTATTGCCGATCCCAAATCCAAAGTAAATCAAAAATTTTCTCAATTTATTCAAATCATGGAATCCCCTTATAAGAGGGCATTTTCCATAAAACAAATTAATGATGATTTAAGGGAAATGAGGGAACATCTAAAATTTCTGGGAGAAATAAGTAGGCAGTATAATCACCGTGGAAATGTACAGGAGTATAAAAAATTTAAGAAAACCTTTAAAAAGTCAATAAAAAGAGCAAAGGTGAGTGCGAACGACAAGGCCATAAATTCTGCAAGAAACCCATCAAAAATTATGTGGAATATTATTAACAAACACCGTGAGTCATCCATTAAAGATCGAACATCCCCGAAAATATCAGCTGATAGTTTTCAATTTTTTTTTACTAACATAGCCAATAATCTAGTAAAGGAAATACCTAATAATCAAATCCATGCTCTGCGAAATTTTGAAAACATTATTCCACCTGCTGATTACTCTTCTTTCACTGATGTTACCTATAATGAATTGAGAGATATTATTTCACATCTCAAGAATGAAACTAGTCGTGACATTTTTGGTCTCAGTGTGAATCTTGTAAACTTATGCTTTAGAGAAAATACTTTTCCAGATGTCTTAAAGAAAGCCATGGTCATACCAATTTTCGAAAAGGGAGATAAGAACGATATATCCAACTACAGACCGATCAGCCTCTTACCAATAATATCCAAGGTAGTTGACAAGTGTGTGGCTGTAAGATTGGTGGACCATTTTGAAACTAATGGCTGTTTTTCGGAATGCCAAAATGGCTTTCGCAGAGAAAAAAATACAGTTTTGGGGATACTCGATCTGGTTGACACAGTGATAGAGTCCTTTGAGTCATGGAAGTACGATGCGGTGCTCTTCTGTGACTTGAGCAAAGCATTTGACTGTGTGTCCCATGACCTCCTTCTCCGGAAACTGGCATTCTAGAATCTGACTGCAGACAGTATTTCACTTCTAAAATCTTATTTGGAAAACAGGATTCAAGTTGTGGCGGCGGGTGGGGCGTCGTCAGCAGAGAGTGTAATTAATATAGGGGAGGGTTCAGTTTTGGGACCTATTCTTTTCTTAATATACATCAATGAGTTGCCTTATGATAACACAAATGCACATTATACACTCTTTGCGGATGACACAACACTTTCTGTCTCGGCAGGTTCCCTGGAGGAAGCTGAGAGGAGGTTACGGGTTTCACAGTTAAGTGCGGCTCAGTGGTTTGATACGAACAGGCTGCTTCTGAATCAGGAAAAACCAAATGAAGTTGTCTTCTCACTGCGAAATCTGGATGATGCAACTGAAAACGAGACACATGTAAAATTTTTGGGTGTTCTTGTAGATCCCACACTAAACTGGAATATCCACACGAGCTTCGACGCCTGTCTGAGTGTGTTTCTAGGACAGTTTTGAGGACGGCATATTTTGCTTTGTTTCACTCCAGTCTGTCCTATGCACTGCTGGTCTGGGGCCATGCGGCTCAGGCTTGTCATGTTTTTGGAATGCAGCGGAAGGCTTTACGGGTTGTTGCGGGGTTGGGGTTTAGGGATGACTGTAGGCAGACCTTTGTGAGCCAGTCAGTCTTCCGTCTCAATACATCCTGGATAGCCTGATGCACATTAAAAAGAATATTGGAGGCTACGAAGTACACAGTGAAGTTCATAGCCATAATACCATGGGGGCGAGTAATTTGGTGACCGGATATTGCTGACTGAAGAGGTGTCAGACTGGCTCTAGATACTGCGGCATAAAGTTTTTTAATTGTTAGCCTTAAAAGATAAGGGTTTCACCCGAAATCTAGTTCAAGGCTACAATTGAACAATTTTTGCTCCGTGGGGCATTTTATTCACTCGACAAGTTTTTAAATTGTGATTTTGTTTGAGAGTATAGTGGTAATGTGAATTTTATTGTTGAATGTTATTTGTAATCGCTTTATTATTAATTACATAATTCTATTTTATTTTTATATTTGACACATGTAAGTGCTCAGGGCTGTATCTAGACCAAAATTTTGGGGGGGTTAGACAAAGTGGCAAAAAAAAATTGTTACACTAGTAATAAAAATAAAAAAAATAAATAAGTATTTAATAAGTGTTGTTTGTTTTTAAGTTGAATTTTTTGAATTTTTTTATTTTTTTGGGGGGGTTTGTACCCCAAAAACCCCCCCCTAGATACGGCCCTGTAAGAGCTTTCCTGTATGTTAACATTAAATATATTTTGATTTTGATTTTGAACTAAATTTTGTTGCACCCATTTTTGTCTTTTTGGTATGGACAGTTTGTCTAATTTTTGTCTTGTCTTACCCAAATTTTTGTCGCAGTTTTGTCGTGTTTTTGTCTCAAAATCGTGTTTACTTTTTGTCGGCTTGGTCTGGACCCGGCATTAGATACACTGACAAACCTGCAGTTCCATATAAACTTTAGCTGCAATAATGAATTATATGAATGAAATCACCACATCTGTGTAACAGCAAAAAATATAGGACAAAAATCGAATTTGGAAAATCTTACGAAACCCCCAAAAGCTAAACATGAATCTTATTTTCGATTCTTGTTCTTTCGTTTGGAAGGGCGGCTACTGGAAGATCCGCTATTGGGAGAGCTGCCATCATTATGTCCATACAAAGAATTCAGCAAGTTTTCCAAGTCAGGCCGTTCCATCCGAGATGCCTGACTATTTCTTCTTGGTTGAGTGTTGTTTTGCTTTCCCAAAGCAATCCTGTATTGAACATGGTGAGAATCGGGCTTTAAGTGCTTTAATGTTTCTTTTTGACATCCCGCCCATTCGGTTATATCATAAACTGATCCTTCCATACAGGCATAGTAGTGCCAAAGGATGCCAAAGCATCTCGCTTCTGCCCAAATATCTCCTAAAACAGTTTATGGATAATTGAATGGTCAAAAAATAAATAAAAGTGTACCTTCTCTAGCAGCATGGTGTATTTTGCAAGACTTGCAATTTCTGGCTGCATAACTTGGCCGATCCACCTTAATTCTCTTATGCCGATCACCACAAGCACTGCATCTTATGGTATTTGCATTCATTTCCATTTTTTGCTGTAATTTCTGCAATAATTCAGCCATTTGGCTGAAATTTTGGACAACGAATGCGGATTCTGCCACACCTCTGTCATATGTAGCTCTTCTCTCTGAAGTTCCAATCATATCAAAAGCATGTACCAATATTTTGAATGCCTCTTCAGCTCCTGGTTGATTATTTTTATCAGGATGTACCAAAAAGGCTTGCTTCTTGTAGTATTTTTTGATGTCATCATCTGTACATTTGGGTGTTACACCCAGAATGCTGTATGGATCCTTACCTTTGCATGCTAGTAATCTATTAGAATTGCAAAGCGAAAAGTCATTATTTTGATTTCAAAAACAAATGTATTAGACTCACCTCTTCATTGCTTCATCTCCTGTTGTGGGCATAGTTATATTATTATTAAGCCCATTGTGCAGAAAATTATTTGTATCTTCTTCAATTTTTGGCTTTTTGTTTTTCTGTTTGAATCTGTTTTCAAAAATTTCCCATATCCAAGCTGATAACTTCCATCTTTTCAAAACTGCTTCGCTGGTGCTGGTAAATGATGTCCAGAAAGCGATCAGATGAGCCCAAGAGTTGGTTAAACTGAAGTTTTAGATTAACAAAAATTAAAAAATCAAAAAGTAATTTTGGAATACTTACAAGTCTTTACCTAACTGGGCGCTAAGGCTTAGGACATCGGAGATCAAGTGAATTAGCCATAGAGTAAATACTGTAAAAACTTTCCACCATTCTTGGATGTAAAATTTTACTTTTTCTCCAATAATTCCTGCAAAAATGTTATCTGTGAGTAATGTGAGACTAATTATTTTTCATTGGATACCTTCAAATTCTAATTATTGTAAGATTATATATCAGAAATGTTTTGCTAATTCAACATTTTATTTATTAAATATCTAATTAAGCAAGCTTGCAAAAAAGGTGATATGGTAAATTTGATAAGATTTGTTCAACAAATAATACCTACCCATATGTTATCTTTTGAAAAAGTTTAATTTGTCTTGAAATTAAAAGACAGAAAACTATTTTGATGTGTGTATTTTTACAGATATAGGAAAGGACCTCATTGTCCAACCAGAGCTGGCAGAATTGATTCGTTTATTTTATGTCGATTGAAAGCATTTTGACAGATTTTGAAAACGTAGGCTTATTACCTTCTTCTGACACTGACTCTGATTGTAATACAGAAGCAGTAAATAATAATCCTAATTTAAATAATAACTCGAATAAGAATCTAGTTGAGTTAAATCGATATATTTCTACTTTGTCAATATGTATAATAATCTTCATTCATAGCACTTGGCTAGCCAACATACAAAAAAGGTACACATTTTGCTGTTCATTGTAGGTTTAGTTTTAGACCCTCAAAGAATAAGTTGATTTGGCTGAAATTCGCATTGACTAGACAGGGTGATTAATGGTCGATGGTAGGTTACACGCTCATGGATGGTTTTCGAAAATTTGCATGCCCAAGTAATTGCTCCTGATCTATCATTCCAAAATAATTTCAACGATGCGACGTAGCCGCTTATACCAAAAAGTAATACATACATATAAAGTTTGATAATTTAAATGAGGCACCTTGTATATTATTGCATTTTTCGCTCCGCTATGTCTTTCTGAATTTTTTTTGTATAGTACTGTCCTATACCTATCTCTAGTGAATTTCGACTTATTATTTAATTTCTTTATTTGTTCTTCAAAACGTAGCTCTGGTTAAATTTGTATTACTACGTCACTCCAGATTCGTGAAAAGTTCAAATTTTGCAGATAACTTAAGGAGGTCCTGCATATTATTTTTCAGCAAGAAAATTTGTTCTACATAATACAGGGTTGGTCAAAATTAGTAATTGTGCTGCCAGGTACAAAAAAAAATGAAAAGTGCACTTTTTTAAATAGAGCACCCTGTATATTATGAAATATTATAAAAGGCTATAAAAATACCTAACAGATGATGTATTACGTTCCTCTACCTAAACAATTATCAGGAAAATCTGCAAAATACAGAAAGTCGTGAAGAAACCTTGGAAGAAACATCAAAAAACTCTGAAGAAAACTCGTTACAACGAAATGAATGGCAAGTGTACACCAGGAAAAGGAAAAATAGGGAAAGTGCGACACCCTCGGCAATACCAATCAGTCGTCCTCTGCCCCTGAACGAGGAACAAAAGCCCAGACAAGTCTCAAGATTGCAGAACAATTCAAGTGGTTGTTTGTCTCGGGATTTGGTCATGAGACAGATGCAGGCCAAATTCTCAAATACATAAAAGAGAATGGCATTCCACAAAAATGTCTCTGTGAGAGAATGAAAACAAAATACCAGTACAAAAGCTCATTTAAGTTGGGTATACCAGAGTCAACAGCGGAACATATTGCAGTGGGTGCTTTCTGGCCTGAAGGAACCTATATAAACCATTTTATGAACCTTCAAAACCTTCCAAACATGAAGCCCCGGAACAAGATTCCAGAGGCGAGGAAGGAATAGCATTGACCATACTCCAATATAATATAGGATCACTGAGGGGCAAAACCTCGGGCAAAACGAATGAACTTGAAATTATTCTAAATCAAAACAACATAGATATTGTATGTCTCAGTGAACACAGTATGACTGAGGAAGAAATAAAAACAGTTTATATGCCAAATTATGAACTCTCAACTCAGTTCAGTAGACAATATTTTATTACAGGAGGAACAGCAATTTCTACCAACTCTGTGATGGAAACCAAAGAAATAGAGAATGTGAGAAGGTTGTCGGCTGAAAAAGTTTTGGAAATGTGTTGTATATGTATTTTAAACATTTTAAAGTATATGTATTGTCTATTTATAGATTACCCACAGGCAATTTTTTGAAATTTTTGAATTTGCTTGAGAGTGCATTATTGTCAATTAATGTTTGTAAGCAGATCATTTTGGCAGGGGATTTTAACATTCGTTTTGGTTCAGGCAGCTCTAAAAATATTAGATTTGCAGACTTTTTGACTTCAAGCAAATGATATGCTTTGAAACGAGAGGTCAAAATTGTCTTGATAATGTTTTTATTAATTTTGCAGCGAACGACAGTGTGGCTACCAGCACAGACTATTTTCTGTCAGATCATTTGGCCCAGACGGTTTGTTTGAGGGGTTTCCGACCACTTGCGGGTGGGCCTGAGATCAGCAAGACCTGCAGGCCCATTACACAGAGAGGAAGAAATAATTTTTTTGGTCTGGTTTCTGAGATTTCATGGGAGTTTGTTATTGATGGATCACTCGATGAGGAAACAAAACTTCATTACTTCAGAATAAAATCAGTAAATGCTTCGTTGACGCCTTCCCTGAAAAAACCTACATAAATAAGAATAAACACAATCACTGTAATTGGTTCAAACCTAATCTGAGAAGTCTAGAGAACAAATTAAGCTCAGTATAAAATAACGTCTAGTCCAGGCATGCTATAAAAACGAAATAAGTTAAGACGTGAATATAGAAAAGAAATAAAGAAAGCCAAAGTGTCGTATAATGACAGATTAATAAGCACATCGAGTAATCCCTCCAAGGCCGCGTGGTCCATCATTAATCAGAGTCGGGGAACAACAGAGAAAGTACAGGGTGCTGCAATTTGGAGTGTTTTAACAGGAAAAACATACTTCCAGACCAGATAGAGGAAAACTGATTTAGATGTCATAAGATTGATTTCCGTAAAACTTCAACTTATCAAAAACCGTATCGCGATATCTTCAATGGTACCAATAATACAGGGCGATTTTCGATTTTCCCCTATTTTAAAAAATAGCTATAAGTTTTTTGTTTATCAATTTTTTTTTATTTTGTGAAAACATGTTTGGGATAGTTTTTTGAGCACAATACAATGGCATACTTAGTTTTTTTCTATTTCGCTCCCCTTTTGAGATATTGACCAAAGTCCGATTTTTCTGAATAGGACACCCTATACAGGTCTGGCAAGCCAGCATCTTACAGGCCAATTTTAATACAATGGAATGAAATGTATAGGAGAAGTCTAAGGTTAAATAGAGAGCGAAAACGATTTTCCCTGTTCCACCTCCAGCATGCAGCGCTGAGAACGCTGGAGGTGGAGGAGGGGAAATCGTTTCCTTTCTCTATTCAACCTTAGACTTTTTCTAGACATTTCATTCTATTGCATTTAAAATGGCATGTAAGATGTTCACTTGCCAGACCGGTATATCAATAGCTCATTGGATAGCTCTGCTTTTACTGATTTCAATGATAAAAAGTTCGATAGGTTTATCTCTAACAGTTTTCGAGAAAAAAAATTATATCAGTTCAAGTCATAAGAAACAATGTGTTAGAAAGAGACCTTCCTTATTTTCCTTACAGATATAAAATTCTTTTCCAACTAACTAACTAACTGGCACTTATGACAAAAACAGATATAAATTTTTTCTCTAAAACTGTTAGAGATAAACCTATCGAACTCTATATTATTGAGATCAGAAAAAACAGAGCTATCCAATGAGCTATTAATATATAGGGTGTTTTATTTAAAAATATCGGACTTTGGTTGATATCTCGAAATCGGAGATAGCTATTTTTCATAATAGGGGAAAATCGCCCTATATCACTGGTACCATTGAAGATATCGTGATACGGTTTTTGACAATCGACGTTTCTCGAAAATCGATCCTATGAAATGTAAGTCAATTTTCCTCTATCCGGTTTGGAAGAATGTTTTTCCTGTTAAAACACTCCAAATTGCAGCACCCTGTACAGCAGGGCAATGTCATTTCTCCACAAGAATGTTGCACAGGGTCTTAATCGGTGCTATCAGCCTACCTGCATTGGACGTGCGCGTGGTCCTGGGTTTGAGTTTAGAGAGGTGACGTTTGTGGAGGTAAGGGAAATCATATGATTTTTGCTTTAAGAAACATTGATGATTCAATAACTAAAGACTCGGTGAGGTTTTTAGGGGTAACCTTGGATTCAAAATTGACTTGGGAGCTTCATATTAACGAACTATCAGCTAGGCTTGCTAGAAGTGTTTACCTTCTGAGAAACCTATCGGGAAGTGTCTTGGGACAAATACTGAAAATGGCGTCCTTCGCACTGTGTCACTCGTGCATGTCATATGCAGTAATGGTGTGGGGGCGAGCTGTGCAAGAATTTTCGCGTTGCAACGCAGGGCAGTTAGGGTGATAGCAGGGCATAGGTATAGAGATGAATGAATGCAGGGGAGCTTTTTGTAGTCTGGGAATTCTCACGTTTCCTGGTATCTATATTCTGGAATGCCTTATGCATGCCAAAAAGAACCTACAGAACCTGATGACCAATAGTACCTACCACCAGTATGAGACCCGAAACAGGGATGGTCTGTTGGTCCCTTTCTACAGACTGAAAAAGAGTCAAAATGGCCCAAACTATTGGCAATTAAGTACTTTAATAGCGAGTTTTTTAGACTACCTGAACGAGAACAAGGCCTGCCAATAGAAAAATTCAAAGTCAAAATAAAGCAATACCTAATTTCTCAGGCATTTTATTCGTGTGATCAAATGTTAAACAACATGATAAATTTTTAAACCTGCTAAAATTCTGCACGTTAGCATCTCTAGATTTGTTCTGATTTTATTATGTTTGTGATTTTTATTATGTTATGTAATTGTAATTTTAATGTTATATACCCAATTGTAATTTTAATATTTTAATATGTATAAGAATAATGTGTATGTAAACAGTCACGTTCTTGGCTATAGTTTATGTATGTACCTACTGTATTTGCTGACTTGTGTAAGTTGTATTTTACGATATTGACACC